ATTATCCTATCATTTGCTATCCCCTCACCATGTTTTATTTTTCTTCACACTTTGTCACTGCTGACATTTTATCTACCCCCACATAGACACAGAACAAGAGCTTTATGAGGGATTTTAGACTCTGCTAAATCTCCAGATCCTAGAAGAGTGTCCAGACCTGTAGTGGAAATAATCTAGTGTTATGATACTAAGTCAATAATTTTCAATAGTGAAATACCATCAATTTTACCTTAACAACACTTGAATCTATTCTTTCTGCTCACTATTGCTGTTTCCCTATAAAAAACTTTTAATTCTAGAACTACTGCTTCCACTTTTTCAATCATATACATTTCTGGTATCTTTTTAACACTAAAGTGATCTTTCTAGTTCTGCAAAGGTTTTAGTGGTGCTCTTTGCCCTACAGAATAAAATATATCAAGTGTATCAACCATTTAAATTAATACTTCTATCTTGTAATCCTATCCCCTACACCTATCCATTTCCCAATACTTTGTTTTGGACTACCTGAAATTTATAAATATGCTGTGATCTCTCTTACTTCTATTCCTTCCCAAATGTTGCATCATATTCCAGAACTAACAAATTCCCTTTTGGATCAATTGGTTCATCTGGCAAACTCAGACATGACTCAAACATTTCTTTGTGAAACTTACTGTACCTTTCAAACCTAGGGTACTATTATATAGTGATTATGAACTGTGGAACCAGGAAGCCTTGAGTTCAAAACTCACTCTACCATGGTGGGGCTTAACACAGTACTTGTGAAGTGCATTGTTAGCTCCTACTTTAGCAGTCCTTCCTATGTTCCCATTGTACTTTGTACTAAGCATTTCATGTCTCCCTGGACAGTGGTTGCTTTTACTGTAGTTCACAGAATTCCTCACTAGGGCATAAGATACTAGAGTAGAGCTTGTAGCATGCAAAAATATTACTTGGAGATTCTGTTCAAACACTGATTCCCGAGCCCACCCACAGGAATTTGAATGTGGAGGGTTTAGGTGAGACCTAAACTTGAGTTTCTTCCAGGTTTCCAGGTAACCTAATGGATATGAATCCCCTCTTGCTTTGGAAAGTTTGGCTAAGTCTAGGTTATCAGTCTTCTCAAAAAATCAACTCCTCAATTTATTTATGCCCTGCGTTGTTCTCCTAATCTCTAGTTCATTAACTTCGGCTCTCATCTTTATTGTTACTTTTTCTTGTTGTTGTTGTTAGGTTTGGTTTTGGTTTCTTCTTTTTCCAACACCTTGTGATGGTTATTTGTTTAGAGATTATTTATTTGAGATCTTTTTTGATGCAGGTACTCATAGCTATAAATTTTCCTCTTAATCTACCTTCTTTGTATCTGAGAGATTCTATTATTCTGTGTTACCATTTCATTTGATTCTTGGATATTTTCAATTTCCTCTGATTTTTTTTCAATGACACACTGATCATTTAAAAGTAAACTTTTCATTATCCATATGTTTGTATAGTTTCTCTTGCTCTTAATTTCTAGTTTCATTCATTAAGATCTGATGACAAGGAAGAAATTGTTTTTTTCTATATTTGTTAAAACTTGTTTCACGTCCTAAACTATGATTTATTTTGAAGAACACTCTATGAATTCCTGAAAGTAGTGTATACTCTATTGTTGTCTGATGGAATGTCCGTATGTGTTTGTTAAATCCATTTGATCTACAGTATTTTTAAAATTGAGAAAACCTAAACCAAAAAATTACAATGATGCTGAAAGTGCAGAGGTACTGAGGCAATCCATTTGGGAGCAGAGGCTGGAAGACAGGATACCTCTTATGCATGCAGGAATGATTGGAAAGGAATCAGAAACCAATATTGCCCAGTGGGAGGTGAATCTACAGTGGAGATGCAGCCACTGCAAAAGATACCTTAGGACAGAGAAAGAAATGAGGGGAAATGCCCTGACACCTTTCCTTCTCCCACCCCTAACATTCCTACCAGTGCCTCCCATTAGACAAACCTCTCAGGAACCAGATAGCAATGGAACTTGTCAAATGTAGTCCCATAACATAAAGAGTAGTAGGCAGAATGTTGGAGAAAACAAAGCAATTAGGCTGGCACTGCAAAAAGTAGTTTATATACAGCTACTTTCTTCATTTAATAGTAAGGTAGCAAATATTCATTGAGAACCTATAAGGTGCCAGGAACCATGCTTGATGTGGAGTAAAGTAGCTAGATGCACAAAGCACAGAATAGTTCTGACCTCTGTCCTTAAGGAGATCAAAGGCTACTAACAAAGGATATAGAATAAACGTACAACTATCCAATTATATACTCATTCAGTACAGTGAGGAAAAATATCAGAGTGGTAGTGATTTAGAAGAAAGATGACACCTTATCACTTTAAGTTTAGTTATTTGACTTCTGAGTTGTACGTGTAGAAAACTTGTAGTCAGGAAAAAACAGAACATCTACATCTATAAAAATAAGTTTATAAACTTGATATGGTTGTGCACATGTATAATCTAAGCACTGCAAGGGGCTAAGGTAGGAAGATCACAAGTTGGATGCTATCAACCTTGCAAATTAGTAAGATCCTGTCCTAAAATAAAAAATAAAGCAGTTGGGGATGTAGCTCAGTATGAAGGTCTTGGGTTCAATCCTCAGTACCAAAAACAAGAACAAGAACAACAAAAGTATTGATTCATTTATATTTTGATTTCACCCATGTAGTAAGACTTTGCTATCTCATTAGCATTCCTATACACAAATGACAAACAGACTGAGAGAGAAATTAAGGAAACCATATCTTTCACA